TCACTAGATCACTGGTGTAATTATAAAGGATATTAAGCCAAAGGGAAGAGATGCTTAGGGCAAACAAGGTATGAAGAAGGGGGACACAGCTTGCACACCCTCTCTGAGCGCATCCCTGTCCCCAAATCTCCACAGATACCCCAACACAGAAACTATAAACGTTCTCTCCAACTATTCAATAAGAAGTGATCCCTCCTTGCTTTAAACCAGGGGTCAGCAAGCTATGCCAGGCAAGGAGGCCGAATCCAGTCTCTTTGTAAAGAAGGTTTGTTGAGAAGCAGTCACCCTGACTTGGCTACCAAGCTGCAGGGGCTGCTTCACCCAACAGTGTCAGAGCTGCGCAGTGGTGACCCCGACCAACGGCCACAGAGCTAAAAATACTTACATCCAGCCCTTTGCAGGAAAAGGCGGCCAACACCTGTTTTAAGTCCCTACAGAAATGTCCTCATGACGCGGATCTTTTCCTGCCCTGAGTCACACTTGTGTGTCTACTTTCCCATCACTGTCACAAACACTCTGACTCCAGGGGAGGGACTGGGTCCCTCTTAGGTCTCAGAGCCCCACCCAGCAGCACACCCTGCTCACGGTCAGAATTCACTCGGGTAATAAATGGTAATTCAATATTCTCTCAATAAGTGAGAGATGTGCTGATCATTTTTAATGCTACGCCTTTGCTAGAAATAAAATTAGTCATTATAAAAATCAAATTGAAATTAAAAATTTTTGACTAGCATCTAATTCCTTCACAAAACTTCATAGTTGTAATCCGAATCTAACTTTAACTGCTTATTAAATACATTTTGAGGAAAATTTTTTTGGAAACTACTTTCTGGATAAAGTAGATAAAGGTCATTTGGAAACAATTCCACATGCCTCATATATCTAAAGAGGGAACGTTATCTACTTTGGGCTTAAACTTTTTGAAAAGCACTGAAAATACCATTTCCCATTCTGTTTCACTAAACTAAACTTACTGCTTTAGAACGTTAAGAAATACGCCAACTCACAGTGGCTGTGAAGTTGAGAGATGGCTTCAAGACCGTAGCATAATCAAAAAATTCAATGATGTAATCATGTTGCTTGAAAAATACATTGGAGCTTGCATTTCTTGAGATACCTGTTTGGGAAATTGCACCTTTTAGAAAGTAAAAGTAATGCTTTACCAACAGCTCCTATCCACCAAACCTCCCCATCTGCGTTACTCCTCAAACTGGTTAGGATCTCAAGACACAGGAGCCTCTCTGGCTTGGGCAGTAAGAGGACCATCAGGTCTAGTCTGTCCTCTGTGGGTCCCTTCTGAGCACCACTACTGACCCCCCCATCAATGACATGTGCCCCACACATTCAGGCCACTGACACAATTGTCATTTTGCTCTTTCAGGGACTAGTGAAACCTATTAAAATAGCAACAGAAAGATCCAAGGAATTAGACTTTATTTTATTACTAAAAGAGAAAATTGCCTAGGAACTAGTGAGATTTCAGAAGATGTTATATAAAAAAGGCAAAAAGGATGGTTAGTCAGCTGAAAATGTACCCTTTCCATGTGATTTTCAGGTTGGAAAAAAAAAGCTTATAAATATTCATCACACGTGGCTGAAGTACAGAATTCCAAAGAAAGTAAAGTTTCCCCTTCATTACGAACACATTCCGCAAGTTAGACTAATAGTCATAGCAACATCAGCATTAAACAGCATCCTTAGGCAGCAATGGCCTCACAGGAACGTGCCAGTTACCATGGGGAAGATGACAGAGCAGCACCACACAATTATCTCTACCTGCACTTTTCCATGTCTACAGACCTGTGAGTGATTCTGTCACCGTGGCTAAAATTTCTACTGGCCCAGGAGAAGACAGATACATGTGTTCAAGAGGCTCATCCAAAAAATCCATGACCGTTTTCATCTCTTCATCATTGAAAGAGAAGTTTGCAGATCCATTTATCTGTTTGGTTAAAAAAATTTCAATTTCATTTTTCACTTTAGCAATTCAGATCTAAGAAACAAAACTCAACCTAAGTCACAACAATGCAATGGCTCTGTTTCCATTTTCATTATTTTAACAAATGGGTACATTCTCACTTGTCTGATGCTAGCAAGATCTTGGGCTTCTTACACTCAACTTTCCTTAATTCAGTGCCAAATCTTTTTTTTCTAGAAAAAGTATACTTATAGTTTTTTCCGATTACAAGTTGCAAGACATTCTCGACTTACCTTAAATGTTTTTGTAATATTTTTTTTCACACCCCAAAAGGATAAAGGTAAAAATGTAAGTGTGACATCTCCTTTCACTGGCTTCCCATACGTATACCTGGAAAATAACAAATGGGGCTTAACATGAAAGAATTATATCAAAAACACACTCTTACTACACATTTTTTAAGCTGAAAGCATAGTCAGGAATGTCCTTAATAAACGGTAATCCTTGAAATTAAGTTTCCAAAATGGGAAGACTCTCAACTGCAATACCTCAAAACAGTTCATAACCCACGCTTGACCCAGCCTCTACACAGCCCAGAGGATATCTGGTCATAACTGGAAGTGACAGTTTCTTGTCAAAAGATTTTTAAAAGATTATGAAAATCTTTCCTTCCTAGATAACTGGATTGGCCCATTAACTGCATGCCCAGGAGACTTTGAAGCTTTTGAATGTTTTTTCAATTGAAGTGTAGTTGATTTGCAATGTTGCATTAATTTCTAGTGTACAGCATAATGATCCACTTATTCACGTATATATTTCTTATCATATTCTTTTTCATTATAGGTTATTACAAGGTATTGAATATATATCATTCTCTGTGCTATACATTAGGACATTGCTGTTTATCTGTTTTATATACAGTAGTTAATATCTGCAAATCGCAAACTCCCAATTTATCTCTTCCCGCCCCCTTTCCTCTCCGGTAACCACAAGTTTGTTTTCTATGCCTGTGAGTCTGAAAGTTGTAAATGTTCATTGAAACTGCATTCACCATGGCCACTGCTGCATGTTCCAACATTAACCAGCTGGGTTTATTAGACCAAACACGCCAGGACACCAACTGTGCTCATGGCTACTAAAAATTCACTTTTTGCAGAGAAACTTAAAAGAAGAGTAACTTTTTAAATCCATTACACCAACATTAACTCCTTGAGTCAAATCTCAGCTCTGCTGCTTTGCATTCTAGGTATTAGCTTTATCCTTTCTCATGATGGGACAGTCTTTTTTGTGTGAAGGAGAGACAATCTTTGGCAGACCATTTTACTGTCAGGAAGCCTTTTCTCAATGCATTTCCTGGGATCCTTCCATCTCTATTGTGAAATGCTAAGCCAGACGTGGAAGCTGTTTTTACTTTGTGCTCTATAAATCTGACAGTAAACTCCTGCTTCCTGAATCCATTAATTGAACACAGAAACAGCCCCCCTCCCCCGCATCTGGATGAACTCAACTCAAAAACCTAGTGGTAAAATATAGCACCTTCCAAATTAAAGAGAAGAAGGCAATCCATCTTCAAACAT